CATGTGCGGCCCGCGGCGGCTCGCAGCCCCCGGCAGCAGCCTCGGCAGCTTCGGCCGCGCCTCGAGAGGCGGCTGCAGCGGCTCCAGCGGCGGCCGAGCGGCCGAGCCCGGGCTGGGAGACACGATGCGCCGCGTCCTCCGGCTGCTCCTCGGCTGCTTCCTCACCGAGCTGTGCGCCCGCGTGTGCCGGGCGCAGGAGCGAGCGGGGCACGGGCAGCTGGCGCAGCTGGGCGGCGTGGTAGTGCTGGCGGGGGGCAACCGGTCCGGGGCCGCCTCCGGAGAGGCCGGCGAGGGCGCGGGGGCCTCGGACGCGCCCCCGACCCGGGCGCCCACGCCGGACTTCTGCCGGGGCTACTTCGATGTCATGGGCCAGTGGGACCCGCCGTTCAACTGCAGCTCGGGCGACTTCATCTTCTGCTGCGGGACTTGTGGCTTCCGGTTCTGCTGCACATTTAAGAAGCGGCGACTGAACCAGAGCACCTGCACCAACTACGACACTCCGCTGTGGCTCAACACCGGCAAGCCCCCCGCACGCAAGGACGACCCCCTGCACGACCCCACGAAGGACAAGACCAACCTGATCGTTTACATCATCTGCGGGGTGGTGGCCGTCATGGTGCTTGTAGGCATCTTCACCAAGCTGGGGCTGGAGAAAGCGCACCGGCCGCAAAGGGAGCACATGTCCAGGTGGGCTGCCTCCCCTCCCCCCGCCGCCTCCCCTCCAGGCGCCGCTCTCCCTCGTCTTCCCTCTCCACCTTTCCCTGGGCAATGGCGCCCCCCCCCCCCCCCCCCCCGCGTCTCCGCTGGGGGAGGTCGCCCGGGAAGCCAACTTCGGCTCCCCGCGCGGAGAGGGGGCGCTGGGCTCCGCACAGGTGTGGATTGGAGCGCGTGTGTGTATGGGGGGGGGGGGGGTCTCTGCACCCGTCACCCTCCCGCCGCCCCCTCCCGCCTAGGATTGAAGCGGGTCTGAGACACACACAGCCCGGGAGCCCGCGGCCCCGGAGTCTTGGGTTTTGGGGAGGGGTCTACCCCTCGGATTCCAGACGCTAGCTTCTAGGTAAACAGGGCAGGCGGGCCCGAAAGGGAAGGGGGGCGTGTGTGAGCCCGCGCGCGCGCGTGTGTGTGAGGGAGGGAAGGAGTGTGTGCCGCCTGCAACTCGTAAGGCTCGCGAAAAAGAGGCGAGGGAGGTGGAGAGAGAGAGGGGAGGGAGGGCGAGAACAAAAGCCTTGCCTGGAGCGGCCGCCTCTCTCTCCCTGAGCTGCCAGGTCCCCGGAATCGGGACCTCGGTTCCCTCCCGGCCACCCGCACCCCTCGCCCCTTTCCGCCGTCGCCACTTCTCCCTGCTGGGGGCCGGGGCCTTCGCCGCTCGCTGCGCCCCTTGCAGGGGGTTGGCGCGGACTCCAAGGGCGGGAGCCCCCCTCCCGCCCCCCTGATTCGTCAACTTTCCTGGTTGCCTTATTCATTATGCAAGTCCCAGCGCCAGCAAGTCGCAGCAGATGGGAGAAGGCATTTGGGGATTAATGGAGCTATTTGCCTTTTGCTTTTTTTAAAAGTGTCTAAATTGATTCGCACAACCCAGTAACTTTGGAGGCCGAGAACGCAACCCCCAGGACTCAGCCCCCAGACCCGACGGAGGCCAGGGTTGGCGTGAGGTCTGGGCGGGCGGGGTTGGAGAGCGACTGGCGGTCTTGGAACGGCTGGATGGCTGGGCGCTAGCTAGCTCGATCTTCTTGCCGAGTGTAGGCAACGGGGGGTCGCCATGGGTTCCCCCCCCCCCCACAGACACACACCCTCCCCACACCTCCGGCGGGGGCCCATGTGTGCTCGTGTGGATGCACGAGCTCCGTGCGCCTGCCTAAAAAATCTGAACAAAGAGACCCACCAAAAATAGGCGAAGGAACATTACCACCTCACTAGTAATTATTTTCTATTTATACGCAGAGTATCCGATGATTCTTTCTTTTTTTTCCCCAGAGGGGAGGGATTTGGGGCAAGAGGTGAGGAAGTTCCTCTTGGTTTGGGTCAGCAGGGAGGGGTGGGTGTATGTTGGGGTCTTGAAGCACAAAAGTAAGCTTCCAGGGGATTCAGGAAACCCTGACCCACTGAGCGAGTAACACGCTGGCCCCGCCCACCTCCTGCACCCCCAAGAAGCCCTGTCGCCAGCCCCACAGGCCGGAGTTTCACTTCCCCCAGTCCCCGCCAGTCCCTGTAGCTTCCCGGGGTCTGTGTTGAGGTGAAGGAAGAGTACCGAGGCAGGACTGCGGCAGGCGGCGGGTGTCGCCTTGGTAGGGAGAGAGTCCCCCAGGGATAGGTAGCCTGCCTTGCAGATTCGGGTTAATTCCTCTGCTGAAGTATCCACTGAGCCTTTCCCTTGCAAACCAGCGCTTACAGAAGCCCTCCTGGGTGTTTGGGTGGGGGGTGGAGGAGGGGAGGAAAGGCCGGAGAAGGGGAGGTGGGAGGGTGCCAGCGGAGCTAAGGGTGGGCGGCTCCCTTTGGCCTGCGGCGGGAGAAGGTGATGTGTGATCTTCAGGCTCCGCGTGATCTGGGTATTCCTGTCGAGAGCGCGCCACCGCCGACCTGAGGGCCCAGGAGCGACTCCCATTCCTGTCCTGCCACCTTGCAGCTCTTGTCTGGAGAAAAAGTGCCCCCCCCCCCCCCCCCCCCCCCCCCCGGCTTGGTCAGTTGTGGCCACTTCTGCAGGGACTACTAAAGGGCTGCTTGGGGGTGGCATCGCGGGGCACCCAGTCCTCTGATAACAGAGCCTGGCCACAGGACTCTCCGGGTACACTTTGGAAATTCCAGAATGCGGTAGAAGTACATTCTCTTGAAGAGCAAGGATAGTTGATTTTTATTGGCAGTTTCCACCCTGTGGTTTTCAACCCCAGCTGCTGTTTAGGACCACCTGGAGTGCTTTAAAAAAAAAAAAATCGTGTTGCTAGGGGCCCCGCCCTCGACAATTTCCTTCAGAATCTCTAGGGTTGCTGAGTCTGTGTACTTTTGTAAAGCTCTCTAGGTTTTCCAGCGTGTGGACAGTTACCATTACAGAAGATGAAGGAACATTTGCCAAGCACCGTATTAGGGGTGTGTGTGTGTGTGTGTGCACGTGCATGTGTGTGTAAACACGCCTTTAGTGTGCACAGCTGCCCTAGGAGACAAGTGCTGTCAATTCCCACTGATAGATGAGAAAATCACGGTTCAGGTTGGATGGCTTCTCCAAGGTCACACAGTTATAAAACTGCAGTCCCCAGGCCCCTGATTTCAACGGTGTTTTCAGTGCCAGTGAGCATTGGATGGGGGTGGGGGTGGGGGCTTCCTAAAATGCACATTCTTGTGTTCTGTCCGGAAAGGTTCTGGGTCAGTCAAGGTCTGGGATGAGCCCCAGAAATCCGCATGTAACAGTCTCCCTGAATGGCTCTTCAAAAGTGGCCTTGACGTTCTTGAGGAAGACCGTTCTTGAGTTTGGGACTATTTTTTACATTCTTGGGAATGGATGAATTAATCCAAGGCCACTCCCTTATTTGCATTTGGTTGTGTGTTTTCAGCACGTATTTCTGCTTTGTGTATTTGTGGTGCTGGGGGCTGCCCCAAGGACCGTCCAAATGCATGTTGCACTGTGTGTGTGCAGTTGTTCATTTCAAGTCCCGGCCACAGCCCTGAGCTCATTGGGTTTTGCTTGTGGGGGCCAGGGGGTACCTGGGTGGGGTGCACCCAGCCACCTGAGAGCTTGTGGGTGCAATTAACGTCTCAGCCACAGCCTCTTAATTTACTTTGTCTTGGGCTTTGCGGGTCACTGAGATGAGGGGTTCATTCTCATTTCATCGGAAAGCACCCCTAGGTCACCAATTGCTCCTGGTGACCCGTGTGCTTGTGGTATCCCGGAAGAGGCCTCCGTGATGTCAGTTTTCAGACCCAGAAGTCCTGGGCATGTTGGCTGCTCCCTTCTGGGCCGACTGGGACCTGATAACAGGAGAAAGCCGCTAACTCCAGGAGCTGCGGGGGTCTCACCCACGATATCAGAAGAGCTTCAGAGACCCTCATTCACCAGCCAGAGCAGCATTACATCCAGCCACTGTGGATCGGAACAAGTGACTGCAAACAGTGGCCGGCTGTGGTTACCCAAACATGCAGGCATGTTTTGTTTGGTCTGCAAGGTGTGGCTATTTATGTATTCTTATTTTTATTTTAAAGTTTCACTCTCTCTGGTTTTTTTTGTTTGTTTGTTTTTACGGTGAAACATTTTGCACATACAAAAGAAAAAACTTGAAACATAAAAATGTCTTTAGGGTTTGTCACTCCCGGTACGACTGCCGTTTGGAGCCGGCTCATTCTTGGTAGTGGGGGGGCTGTTCTGTGCATCGTAGGGGGTCTGGCAGCATGCTTCGACTCCACCCACTATGCCAATAGCACCCCCCTTACAACCTAGCTGTGACAGTCAAAAAAAAAATGTCCTCAGTCATAGCCACATGTCATCCGGGGGTAGAATCACCCCCAGTTGAGAGTTACTAATCCAGGCCACACAATTATTAGTATTTTGTCATGTTGGCTTTAGTACACACTCTGTATTTTCTTTTCCTCTGTCCCTTTCTCCCTCCCTTTCTTTTTCCCGTGTTTCTTGGCTGAAACATTTGAAAACGAATTGCAGACATGGCACTTCATCCCTAAATACTTCAGCGTGGATTGCCTAAGAACAAGGACATTCTCCCCCACGACACAATCCTAGGATCACCCTCGAGAAGAAGGGCAGAAAGTCTGTCATACCATCAAGTAGCCAATCAGGGTAACATTTTCCTGGTCGTACCAAAGATGTCCTCTGGAGCTTGAGCTCCCAAACTAGGATCCGGTCAAGGCTCACTGCATCTGCCTGTAAAATTTCTTCACTCTCTGTCATACATTGTGTTTTAAAACCAACTTAGAACTAAGGAGATTTCACGTAGAAATCCCGATTCCTGACTTCTCTTGAGAAATCGGTAGTTTGGACAACACTGATGTGCATTTTCCCAGGGAAGCTGTTGGTTGCCACCCAGTGGTGAGTTCCCTCTTTAGGAAGCTCTCAGGTCGGCCTCTGTCTCCACCCCCACTCTGGAGTCCCTGGAGACTCAGTCGAGCCTACCTCAAGTCAGATGTCTGGAGATTCCATCCAGCCTGGCCGCTTAGGAGCTGTGTGACCTTGGGAACGCGACTTCACCTCTCTGAGTTTTAGATTCTTGTCTGTAGAATGAGACCCTGGTGATCCCTATGTCCCAGGCTTGTGCGAGGTTTCACTGAGACTGGACTTGGGAGGCCCTTAGCACAGGACCCCTTTATGGTCACTGCTCAGCAAGTTTTACCCCTTTGCCATCACCCTTATTACTGGAATTTTCTACCCCTTACCTGCCAAAGGGGTAGATGTTGTAGTCTGAAACTCAGTACCTAGTCCTTGCCCTGTTCCATCTTTTAAGCTGTGTGGCATTGGTCCAGTCTCCTAACTCCTTCAGAGTTAAGCAGCAGAGGGGGACAGGTTCAGAGTAGGAGAGAAGACCCGGGAATGGCCTCATTAAATGCCTTGCAAAGTGTTGGCCTGGGTGATATGAAAGAAGCCTTGTCCAGCCTGCTATTTCACCACGAGCTTGTGTATCAGTGCTCATTTAATTCCAGGCCCTGCCCCAGTGAGGCAGGCCTTAGGACAGTGTGCCTCTGAAGAGGCACAG